CCTTGTGTGGAGATGGCGCCGCCGCCCCTTGCTGGCGATCATCTAGGGCGGGGAAGCCCTTGCATTCCAGGTTGCGGTTCTGTCTTGATGAAATGCAGCTGCCGTGACTGGCGCCGTTGCACCAGACGGAAGCCACGAGCGCCATCTGCTGCGCGGACAGACCTCGAACCAGGTTTCCAAATACTCCACGCACGCTGTACCTCAACATTTGCGTCTTCAACAACCGAGACTACCAATCGAGCAGTCTACACGACAACCGCATGCTAGTGTTTGCCCGGCGCTCCATATTCAAAGGTACGTTGAGGCTCTTTGGATTTGGAAGACGACGAGACCTCGTCCGCGGCCTCCGAGACCGGTATCAATGCTTCCGATAGTTGCAACACTTGACGTCTTGTACTCGTTAATCATGGTGGCCTACTACGTCGCCTGATTATCATCATGCTCACCGCTCAATCGGCAATTGACGTGCAACCGGTCTGATTTGGTCTGAACAACCTCATCGGAAGAAAGAGATTGGAGCCCAGTAGCATGACGATAACTAAACAAGTGGGCGGGTGGCATTCGTAGCACCTGTACCAGGCTCGCCTCTCGCTATAGATACAGATCCGTGTCCGGAATCACGGAACTTCCATCCTCATACCAACGAATACTGTACCTGCAATTAATGTTTTGACTGTCCGTAGCGGACGGTAAGTCATGCAAAAGACTTGATTCAGAAAGAGGGGTCTGCACAAAACAGTTCCACAACACATGGTGGCGTGCATGCGTATCATGCCCCACTCTTCTTTCCGGTATACCAGCATCTTGCCCAGTGAACTGATGTTTTATCTTCAACAAACACTGCAGGTTCATTTACCCGGTATCTGGGTTTCCTTCAACAGCAGTGCGCACTTCTACTTGCAGGCCGAAGTGTTTTCAGGCAAAATGAGCAACATGTGCACTGCTGGCAGTCATCGACTAAGATCGTACTTGTTGAATCCACGCGCGTCCGGCTTCAGATGTGGAGAGATCTCTTAGTCCAATCGTCATTCTTCTAGCGTTGATATGTTGTATGGTGAATTTTTGTTTCAGGGAATGACGTTGCCATAGGTTGTGTAAGGGGTCCAAGGACAATACTTCCCCATTCTCCATAGCTTTAGATCGTTGCAGTATCCTAGATTTGCGCTAACAAGATGAAACGATAGGCAGCAGACACTTCAAGTCAAAGCTGTCAGCTATGCGGAAGCTGGACGCCTTGAAGCCAGAAGCGGTCGATCTGGAGAGTGTCAGACGCTCTTCTAGATGGCGCACTTGTCTCTCAATAGCATAGTGAAGGCTATCGCGATGCAAGTGCGTTGTTTTACCTGGCACTATCTCGCTGTGTACTGGTTTACTGCACGCTGCTATGGCTGTCATAATCTCAATACACTTTGGGGTTTTCAGCGAATCGGCATCGCTCCGCTGATGCTTAGTGTGTGTCGCCTTTATCTGTCCGAGGCTCAAAAGCATGATGCTAACCAGAAAAGCTACAGTTTAGGGGCGTCATCAAGATCCCACATTCCTGGCCCACTAGCTGAAGATACTATCGGAGACCCACGGACCTGGATCAGAGATCTCTTTGTAGATCGAAGCCCTACAATCTCGCTCCAACGTGCACTAGATACATCGCTAGAACTAACATCATCTTCCGCACGCGACAAGCGAACGCAGTCCTCAGCGGAATTGTCGCCGTGGAGTCTATCGGTCATGTTTGAACAATTTTAAAGGCACCGTCGTTGCTTGCATGGAAGGCTCTCGTTAATGGCAGCTTAGAGCTTCGCACTTGTTTCGCATTCGCGTTGGTATGCAAATTCGCAAGCATGGTAATCTAGGTAATGTCGGCTGTGAAATTTGTCACTTCCCCATGTTGAGCGGACAATTTCCCACTGTCTCTTACGCGCTAGGTGCACGTTCGCTTCCAGTCGAATGAGTTGTGACCTCGGCAGCTGACGGTTGCCAATTAGGCTTGGTTCCTGCATATGACTAAGCTGCGCGAGCCGCAGATCGTTGGCTCAGCCACCTTCGACCCTTCTTTTCCCAGCTGAGATCGGCTTCACCTGCCGTTCGCACACATCTGCTGGCACTCATGCTGCAAAATCAATATTTCGGACGGCCAGGGTAGGCGATGCGACCGCTACGACTTGCCCTGGCTGCAGGACAGCATGACGCAGTCGTGTAGTACCTCCAGAAATCGACGGGTTCGCATTCACTCCCACATCACTATTCAACATCACTATTCAACACTACAAAGTGACATCTTGACAGCTCCCGTCGAGCTGGATCATCTACTTCCCGTCAACTAATGCTGCCAAGCGTAGTCGGCTCGGAGAACATCGCTCGTGGTCATATACGCGGATTAGCATGCGAAAGAGAACCCGGGACAATCAAGATCTCTTGGCACGGGAACAAGAGTCTAACGCCGATCCGGCGTGCGGTTACCATCAGCCGCAGTCGGTGCTGATCCTGATCGTCCGTCTCCTGGGAGAGCGCCCCACAGAAGTCGTTGACAACTCGGTAGACAGTAGACACAGCCACAATCCCGCCAGGCATCCCTTCTGCAGTTCCATCGCGTACCCGAAGATCAAGCACTGAGCAGAATTTTCGCTACGAGTATTGCGGACCTGTTTTACGCGAGAAAACTACAGCATGCGGCGCAGACTAACGACGATGGCCTACTGCATTTGGACCTGCGTGACAGCGCACCTGCATCCATCATCTGGGACTCTGTCCCCACCGTCACCGGCCGGTGAGCTCTACGCTTGTTATCCTCTAACCACAAGCTCCAGGGGTGCACGAGATATCACTACTATATCTTGTTGGTGCATGATGGCTGCAATTTGTGTGTAAGTTGTGCGCATGGTACCGTCGTCTCTCTATTCCAGACCTGGCCAGCCTCGAAGCACTGGCTCGGGATGTAAGGATGATCGGTGCCGTCTCCGTTTCGCAACCAAATTACCTGCAGTGGCTTCAACGCTAACACGTGGCTCTTTCGGAACACCTTCGCGGAATGATGTGATAGCGGGAAATGGTGTCGTTAGCACAGGGTTCCGACAGGCTCCGTTTCGGGGCATTTACTCACACCTTGGTACGTCAGATGTGTCGAAACGGATCACTAGGTGCTCTAACGCCAACCTTAATTCCAGCCAGGCCTGGCAGGACCTACCTCTCCCGGTCACAAGGTAGACCCCCGCTGCACTTCAAACATCTCGAACAACGACAATCGTTGTAGATGAGGAACCTTACTATCGACTCTCCTTTACTGTGCAGGTGTCGACAGCGTATCCTAGATTTCTAGGGAGAGAGAGCGTCTGCAACCACAAATGACGAACTGCAACCACGATCTCGTGAGAAATGACGTCAGGCCTCCATACGAGTATACGAGATCGAAACCATGCTCTTCATCGAGGGGAGATCTCAGCGCAACGTCCCCCGCCGTCACTGTCAACGGGTCTCGGAAACCTCGCCTATCGCGGTACATCAGAACTGAAAATCCGCAATGTAACTGTGTATCCTGTTGCATGCCGCAAAAGCGTAAACACCGGGCTGAGCAGAAACGCTCATTGCTCCGGCGCACCTCATTCGTGCGCCTCGCTCAAAAAGAACCCACCACCAATCCACATCGCCACCCCCGGCCGACAGCGTACTGACAGCATGCGATGGCGGAGTTGCGCGATACATTGCAAGGTTTTAGGCGTGAAATCTGTCGCTCTTTTTTTGCTTCTCCCGTACCGTTGGCTGTGCAGTGTAGATCAAGAGTTGCTTCTCTGTCTTCCTGGGCACGCGAGTCCGGCCAAGCCTGGCGGAGATGCCTCCGCAACGCCTCGGTACAAAGAAAGGGAGAGCTTTTAGGTAAAGGCGTTCAGCTGCGTATAGGTGCTGTACCTAAGGCGCATGCGTTCAGGCGAGCATCGCCGGCTGAGGGTGTGGTGCTCTACTTTCAAGTCCAGAGCCACCTTTCTTGCTTCCTTTTTCGATCTCTAGGTGGTGATCTCTTCGACTGCATCTCCGGCGTCGTTTGCAGAGGGGGCTGTGTGCATGATCCAAACTCCACGAGTTTGGAATGCCACTATTCGCAACTATGCATGACTGCATTAGAACAACACTTGACGTCGTTCGATGAGTAAACGTCTCAGGCGGGTACAGTGCCCGCACGTGATTGACTGGTTCCACGGGTTAGTGCGACTTGTATATTAGCGCGATTGATTTGTTTCAGAGATGTGATATCGATTCTTTAATGAGTGTACATCCGGAGCGGAAAGCCATTCGTTCACCCCGGGCCTTCTCTCGCGGCCCAAGTCTCGATGCACTAGTTTAGCCATAGCTCTTGGTAGCGTTAAGTACCTTTTCTAATCATCTGTGAAGAAACTCTGGATTCTGGAATCAATATTGCTTGTAAAGACGATCGTGATGATGAGTCTAGCTACAGGCCGAGGCTCGTATTGTGTGACTTGTACGTATCTTTTACACTGTTAATTTTGAAAGAGAGCAATCTAGCCTCTGCAATAGCATCGCTTGGCCTACGTGCAGCTTCTCGGCCTTGAATCGATGCATGATCATGAATGTATGTGTAATAATGATATGAGAATGACTTCAGAGCTTAACAGATCATTTCTCAGATACTAATGAAGACCGTTGTTGACATGCGTCGGACATGGAGCAGCACCTGTAAATGCGTGCTAGTCCCATCGTAGGAACACCTGTGTACACATTATTGTTGGATGTATTGTGCCGGATACATCTGCCCAGGCATGCAGTATACGCATCCGTGTATCAGCCTAAACAGAACACGAGAGAGCACAACGCGATTTCTTGAGATACGAGAAAGGACCGAAGAGTCGACGTTGACTTTAACCGTTATCTGTACAGTATCAATATATCCTTGTATCCTCCAGTCTTTCCTATCAAGAAGCCCACGTGCCCAGCGCCATCTCCGTAGCCCCTAATCCTCGAACCCATCTTCGTTCTCGAAGCCTTTGTACTCATCAATCTGTGCGTTCAGAGATGGCTCGGAGGAGTTTGATCCACTGTCGGACGTCAGGAAAGTTGTGCGGACCCATGGGAGACTCCGTCAGTACAACACCTTCGCAAAGCCAATTACCCCTCGAAATATCCTTGGCTGGCTTCGTATTTGCAAACAGATTTGCGACTTTGTCTAATGCAACCTCGCCCTCAGCTCGCGAGCCTAACCAAGGTCGAAGCCGAAGACACATCAGACTAGTCGCTACTAGTAAGTAAAGATAGCCGTAAAGGTTTGCGATTAATCGAATCTGCTTCATCTCGTCAGATTTCTCAATGTTGTCCTTTGGAAGCGGAATCGGGGGCCCGTTGAACATCTGGTCTCGTAAGCTCATACCCCAGTCATCCAGATCGGTCTCCAATAGCTCGGGAAATATCTGTGCCAGACCAGCTAACATTGACGTCTTGTACGATACGGCCTTGTATTTAATGCCTCTGATTGGTCCATGAGCCAAGTACTCATGAAGTCCGTCGGGCTTGAACAGGTGCGGAACATGCCAGACCAAGACGTCTCCATCCAGCTGGTGTGTGTCCATGATTGCGACGTGGGGACCGTATTCTTCTTCTATGGATCCAGCATAGCAGAGAGCTAGGTGAAGTGACCCCGTTCATGAGCTAAATTCGGAGGTGAAAACAGATTCGGTGTCGTAATGGTCTTGCACCATTTTGTAAAGCTCACTTTCAGGCTTGTCGTAGAATCCGCTTCCAGAGGCTTTCTTCATGAAGCCGTGCGGAATGATCTCCTTGACACTGTTAGTTGCGTGTTCTGATCCTCCACCGCTGTTGCTGCTCCAAGTACGAAATAAGAATTGAGGGATATGGTTCTTGCGGAGATCTGTGAGAGTTAGCCAAGAGCGTGATGTGAGAGCAGGGTGGAGTACCTTCGAAATATGCCTTGCGGTCACCCGTAATTGGCTCCATGTTGCTTGCGTCCAGCATGATCACCTAGGTATAGTCAGTGTCGATGTCGTGGTTGAGGCAGAAAGCTCTTTGAGGATAGGTATTGGATGATAGAAGATTGAGGAATTTTTGGATACGGTTATAAGTGTGAGAGCAGTTTTTCTAGATAATTACGATTTTGATTGCTCTTATTGTCCTTGCGACACAATAGCAAAAGACGGGAGGTTTCGATTTTCAAGTAAGTGAGGTGAAGGCGACAGCCCATCCTCCAGTCACCAAGAGTTATCCGCCTAAGTACTAGGCAATGACTCTCTTTGCGACAGCAACTTCGACACAGACTCCGGCGGCATTGAAAGATGTTAGGGGTTCTTGTACTGATTGGTAGTATTAAGCAGCTTAGCTCACGCTGAAAACATTGTCATTCGTTGTCTATAATACTATCTCATGTATTGAACAACAAAGCCTCCAGTGGCCGCAAGAAACACTACCTATGCTCTGAATATACATCCCCTAGTCTCCAGCAGCGCAAGTAGTATATCCAGAAGGTCGCCTCACTCTTTGCAGCAAGCCTCAAGACAGACTAAACGTACTTTCTCGAAGTGCACGGATATGCCTGCCTCCAGCAGCCGACCAAAAATCTCCACTCCAGCCTCTTTGTAGTCCTTTACTCGCTGCTTCGGGTCGTTGTCGAAGTCGAGAGATATTCTTTTCAAGCTACGCAGCTTGCTGCGGTCATCCAGAACTCCGGAGATCCACTCTATCACAGCGGTAGTCGGATCAGCTACATTAAGGTACTCTACATTCGGCGGCAGCGCCTCGAACGGATGGAGAGGGGAACACTCGTAGGGGGTTGAGTTGATGAGAATACTTTGCGGAATGGATAGGCGCTTTATTAAAGTGAAACGTTGCAACGATCGTGATGGTCGGAGGTAGTCGATCTGTTTAGAATCTCCGGTGTCAGAGCACTTTAGCTCCAGCTCTTCCAGAAGATGTGAGGCAGGGATCAGCGGATCGATAATGATGGAAGACGTAAATCCTTGCTTAGGGTAGCATATGCGTTCTTCTGTCGGGATGCCGGGATCATAAGAGCTATAATAAGCCCGAATACCATCATACATGTTGCCATCTTTTTTTCTCCAATTGGTAAAACACAAGCGCAAAGACCTCAGGGCGGGGAGCCGTTGGAAGAAAGGCGATAGGTCTTGTGTATCCGCTGGCTGATATTCGTAAAGTGTTGGGCGCCGTAGTGTCAAGGTAGTGATACCATGAAATAGGATGACTGGTTCTTTGTCCCATGCTACGAGCTCTGTACAATCAAGCTCCAGGTGTAGCAGCTTTGGAAAGGTAGACCAAGACCTGTTCATTTCACCCCAAGCGCCAGATAGCCTTCGGAGCTGTGGAAGAAGCAGAAGATCAGGAGCAGTAACATCATGCGCTTCGGCTATGCCAGGGAACGTCAGACTCAGGCTTGGTGGCGTCATGAAATCCTCGTTATCTCCAGAGCAGAACGTGAGAGTCTGCAGCTGATCTGTCAACACCAGCAGTAGGCCAATGCAAGCATAAAGATTGCCATATTTGACGAAGCTAACCCACTTCATCTGATCGATGGGCCAAGATTGTGTCGACTTTATTGCGTGTGTGACGACCTGGTCCCAGCACTCCTCATAGATTATAGCTAATCTGTAAATTGGCTGAACACCACAATATCCCGTTATTTGCAAAGAGCGGACCTTCTTAGCGAGATCTGGCCGTTGTACTAGGGTTCTGAGGAGTTCCAGAAGAGACTGGGAATACTTCCTCAGACTGATGGAAGTGTGGAGAGCTTCTTGCGCGATGTCGCGGAACTCGCGTGCAGTTAGGGCTAGGTCTTTAAGATCGGGTGGCTGAAGGCGCAGCGCGATATCAAGCAGGAGCTCGTCCGGTAGGTTCTCAAGCTCGGCCATGATCGCACTCTGAGATGGAGGTATCGACTAGAACTGGGTGTATGGTCGTGGCAAGTTGGAGATAAAATGAGGATGTCAGCTTGATAGCATTGAAAGCTAAATGTTGGGTAGGCGGGAAAGTAGATTTCTAACATTAGCTTCGTTAAATAATCGTGTGGAAGTCAGACTTTGGTTCTACCCAGCCAATACCACGGTACTCTGATGAGTTACGCAATGGCCCGTAGACGAGGAGCCAGTCATCATTTCCGCAACGCCAACAACACCCACGAAGGAACGGCGTAGGATCCGAAGATGATTCAAAAAGTCGCATTCTGCTGCGATGGTAGATTGTGACGTTTTACATTTTTCCTGGTTTAGCACGCCGGCCGCCTATCTCAATTTAAGCATCAGTACCCTGGAACATGTTGCCCACGCTCGTCTCAGACTTAACAGCATCCTCATGATAATGCGAACCCGCCGAGGTAACCGTAGTGTCCAACTCCTCAAGACGCCTCAAATCCATAGGCGCAGCCAAAAGCGGAATGACGTAAGGATCGAAAGTCTTCCAGTATGGGTTGTTGAGGTGGTACTGCTGGGACTGCGGCGGACGTTAGTATGCTGCTGTTCCGGTAATCTTCAATGCAATCATCGATGTATGGAACTCACAGATTCCTTCAAATACCGCTCAACAATAGTAAACTTCCTCTTATCCACCGTATCCTGCATAACGAACCAACTCAGCGTCTCCTTATCCTTGCTGTACACCTGACTCGCTTCCACCAGCTTAGCACTGAGCTTGCTGATGCTCTCCTGGTCTTCCTTAGCGAGGAGGTGGACGACGATTGTGTAGACCATTTTGGGTGTTGCTGTCTTCTCTTTCGGGTGTAGTCTGCTGTTCAAGCTTTTCGGCTCGCTTGTAAAACGACGTCGCGTATGTAATGAGTATGCGTATGTATGTGTAGGAAAAGGGAGGAAGAAAGTAATCAAGACAATTGATGGAGTTTCAACCCACGAAGGAAATTTCTTGGTGATGCTGTTTTTGCGGCCTAGTGACGTATCACCGCGACGGAACCCCGCAGCTGAAAGTGGAGTTCGGCCGATCTGCATGCCTTCCTTCCCACGCTACAAGCATCACCAAGGAACGGGAAGGAGCGCGCAGCCGCAACATCCCCAAAAAGCAAGAGAAGGAGCACAATGAGTGTCTTCGTAGGCGCAGGATGTAAGGCCGACGATAACGCGTAGCCACGTGGGGACGTGGGAACGCGGGATGCAACCAGCACGATAAGCACATTAAGCACATTAAGCACAGCAACCAAGATTTTTTTTGAACTTGAAGATCAATTACACATCTGAACAACGAGAAAGAACAAGAAAGGAAGTGCCTCCCAACACCCCGCCCTGTTCTTCCTCATCTATGTAGTAACTAAACTGATAAGCTAAAGAAGGGGGGAATTTGCGAAAAGACAACGCAGTCGCACCGTAGCAACGCTAAAGTTACACCATCATCACCATATTCCCAATTCCACCCAGAAAATTGAAATAAACACCACCCCATATGCTATGCCATGCCGTTAAAGCGAATGATAATCGAAAACATGGGTACTACTACTATGCCCTGCTGAGCATCTTGAGCACCTCCTCCTTCTCGCTCGTGGGCAGGGTGCTGAGCAAGCTCATGACACCCTTGAGGCCGCCCTCGCGGTCCTTGCGCATGAGCTGTGCGATTTCGAGCGCGATGCCGTCGGTCTTGAGTTGCTCGATCTTGTCGCTGACGAGCGGCCTGTTCTCCTCGTACCAGGTTGCTACGGCCATGTCGTCTTGTTCCCAGTTGGGGATGTTGGACAGGTGCTTCAACATCTCGAAGCCACGGCTGCGGGTGAGCGGGTTGGCCATGGGGTTGTCGTGTGTAGGCGAGGCGGCAGCGGCGAACTTCTTGAGGATGTACTCCTCGTTGAGACGGCGGCGAAGGCGCCAGTAGAAGAAGCGGCGAGCGTTTTGCCAGCGAAGGGCTTGTCGGATGACACCCTTGGCCTGCATGCGACCGGAGCGGTCGTGCAGATCGGCGAACTGGAGGGCAATTTGACCGTAGACAGGTAGAAGCTTCTTCTCGCGCTCGGTCATTTGGGCCTTGATTTCGCTGAGCTCGGACTCTGGTGTTGCCTTGTCGTTCAGCTTGCGCTTGAGAGCACCGTAGGTAGGGTCGTTGCGGGCCATAGTGTCGAGTTGACGTTCCCGACGGTACTTGATACCGACGATACCTTCGGGTTCGAGCACACCACCACGCGAGTCCTCGTCGGCGTACATCTCCATGAATTGAGGGTTGATAGTGGGATCAACAACGACCCAAGATCCACCACGGAGCTCGCCGTAAGGAGGAATGTAGACGAAGATGGGCTGTTCGAACTTGACGAGAGCGTCGACAATGTAAGAACCGTACTTGAGGACCTCATTGTACATGTCGCGCTGACCACCGGAGAAACCACGCCAGTTGGCAAGAATCATCAAAGGCAGTTGCTCACCGTTGTTGAAGTCCTTGATAGCCTGAGCAGTCTTGAAGGCGGAGTTGGGGTACCAGACACCACCAGCCTCGGATGTGACCTGTTCGATGGAGTCAGGGTTGGCGGGATCAGCAGGTGTAACGTTCTCGACCGAGCGTGTCTCAACCCCGATGACACCAATAGGAATGCCACCGAGGCGAGCACGACCGACCACAACCGTCTTAGCCCAACCACCAAGAGTCTCAACGAACGAACCGCGATCGAAGAGACCAGACTGGAAACCGTCTTCGTCCTCCTTTCCGGCGATGAGATGCCTGACATCGTAGGCTGACTTGCCAGGTGGGTAGTAGGTGATGTCGCGGTCCCAGTTGTCGGCAGATGGCGAGATAGGGACGGGGCTGCCCTTCTTGTCGGGTACGTATGACAGCCACTGGACGATCTTAGAGACACCCTCGAAGTCATCATCGGCAGTCGAGTGCGAGACACCGTTCCTATACATGATTTGGGTACCACCAAGCTGGAGGTTAGAGGTGTAAACTTCACGACCGAGCAGCTTGTTGATGGCCTGTGCACCAGTGAGGATGATTGGCTGTCCTTCAAT